TTTTTTTTTTGGAACAATAAAGGTAATATATAAAAGCACAAAAGTGCAAAATGAACAAATTACAAGACCCCAATAAGGTAATTCTAAGACGCCAACAGGGTAATGAGACAGGGGCCAACGGCCCAAACCAAAAACACGCTAAAACAAACCAGAATAAAAGACTGAGAGGACACGCACATGGCGGCCTAGAGAACTCCACAAACGAAAAATAAAGGAAAATGAAAAACAGAGCCACTGCACAATGCCTAGCCTGTATTCATCTTCGAAACAAAAACAAACAAACACTGAAACATAAACCTATCACACAAACGAACACCAAGAAGAAAACACTACTAACACAAACAAACACCGAAAAGAAAATAATAAAAAAAACACACAAGCCCTCCCTCTACAGCAAATCCAAACCAGACTGGCAGCCGCTAAATCAACCCAGAGGAATACAATAGCACGAGAAAAGCGATCCCTCCACTGCCAAACTGCCTAGCTGAACCGAAACTCATACTACTGATCCCACCCAAAGCCAATTCTCCCAACGCCTGAAACACCAAGCAAGCGCCCAACACCGCCAAACCGAGCACCCTAACACCACTAGCGGCCTCAGACATAGCAGTGAGCACCCCAGAACTGGGGAAAGGGAAACTGACTCAACGTAACAGCCCCAGCCATCATCCCAAAGTCACAAGGACACCTCGGCGACAAAGAACCCAATCCTGAACTGCACGCACCAAGCGCTGTTTCCCAGCAATGAGCCTCAATCGCAGAGCACCGCCCAAAATCGAAGAAAACAACGAAGCATAGAGCACCGCCAGTCGCAACCAAAGAGAACCGAGACATGAGCTGCAAAAAGAGGGAACTCACCTCAATCGAGTCCGGCCAAATCAAACCAACCAGGCTTCAATCAAAGGCTCGCAGCCAACATTCACCCTTCCGCCGGCGAAAAGGAACAGAGCATACCGACGAAACCCCAGCTTACCTCGGCGACCGGAAAAAACGAACCCCGAAAGTCCATCCATCCCGACGGAAGCGAGCTCGGAGAGAGGGCGTTTGAGAAGCCAAAAGCCCTTCGACCCTATGAGGCAACAGCCAGAGCCGAAATCGGCCCTAACCCGACCCACCGCAACCCCTGGACCCTCCGCCGCACCGAGAAGGCTTGCAATCGCAAACCCTAGCCCGCCTGATAGAAAAGGCGAGTATGATTAGCGACCACAGAAGCCATCGGCGCCGGCGATGAGCAGTGTCGCGGTGACTCGGTGACTGGGAAGGACCGGCGGCGTGGGAAGACTACCAGAAAAGTGGAAGGCCGAGAGAAGGGCGACGAAGTCGGATTGAAATCGGCGAGAGAGAGGTTTGGGGATCGCGAATTTTAGAGAGAGAGAGAGGGGTTTTGGGGATCGCACTGTGCGCCAAGGACTGCTCTCAATGCAATTTTTCAAAAACTCCTTGCTTGAAGGAGTTAATTTTTATGATTGTATTGTACATCTTATTGTTAAGTAATACTTCATTTGGAAGGAAAAAAAAATTAATAATTATAAAAAATGCTAAAATTACATAATAAATGTACATAGAGGTGTTCATAATGTGAGTGGAGTCCACTTGATTTTTTATTTTTGGTCGACTCTACTCACTATTATATATATACACTCTTATGTACAATATTATGTATTTATAGCATTTCTCAAAAATTACTATTGGTGTTGACATTGATAATTTTGCGCAGTATTTTATTTTAGATTACTATAGTATTTAGAATTGTCAAATCCTCCCTATAATTCTCGAATGTGTTGAACCTACGTGGCTACTTCTGGTGCTTCGAAATTCTACCTGGCGAAGAATCATGCTTCGTAATTAGTTTTAGACAAATAATATTGATATATTAATAATTAATAATCTAGGTTCGGATATTTCATAAATATTATTTAGCTAATTTAGGTATTTTAATATCACTTCTACTAATATAACCCTTTAATTCTTTGTAATTTTACATAGTGAGGCGCTGAGTAAATAATATATCTCTGACTTTTGATTTGTTTTCTTCAATTAACTATTGAATTGTAAATGTATTTTAAAAGTTGATAACTTTTGTATTTCTTATCGGTTTTACATATATAATATATCAAATTAATCATCTTTTGATGATCTTCGATTTGACATCCATATTGTATATATGAAATAAATAAATTATATTTTATTATAATAATAAAAAATAATAATATTTATTAAAATTCATTTGAAAAATAAAATTATTTCTCAATTGATATATTTATGTTTAATGTAGTTGTATGTTGTAAGTTAAGTGTCATACTAAATATATTTATTAAATATTTTTATAAAAGGTATTTAATTTTCAACTACTTTTTTCCATTAATTTTAGATTTTAGGAAAAAAATTAGCAAACA